TCTCATTTAGATAAATATAGACTATTTAGGCAGATAGCTAATTTCTACTTGAAATATTACAAATCCTGTTCTAACCGTGTAAAGGGAGACGACAATATGTTATGACCGGTCTCACAGCACAGTGAAAAATTAACTGTTGAATTGCAGGGTGATCAATGCCGTGGGTTGAATTTTCAATTCGCAATGAATGACTAAAAAACCTGACTAAAATTGATTATTTTGATTTCAAGAAAATTTCAGTAATTTAAAATGTTAGATGTGCATGTGCAATGCGCCTTCCCTTCACCGATAATTTTATTTATAAATGAAAAGGTATTTTAGGCCCAGTATCCATAGGCTGTTCCATTGTGGCGTGTTCCCTTGTGAACAAAGGTAATTAACACGCCTGTTGTCATAGATAATATCCTCGAGGTTGTGGCCTCGTGCACGGAACTGTGGTCTTGTGACAGGGAACATAAACTGCATCTATTGCATCTATTGAAATTTGTTGTCGTTGTATCATCAATATAACTGAAGCTGATTTAATTGAGGAGTCTCCCGCTGCTGAGGTACCTTGGATTACCGTGATAGATAATAATAATAATTTATTTATTAAAGTGTCACACAGCATAGAACATATAAATATACAAATATAACAAGATAAAAGTAATGCTGCCCAGCCAGGTTGGCTTATGAGACACTGGTCTAATTCAATTCCAATGAGTAAAAATCATATCAACAAAACATAAATATCTGATATATAAATATATAAACATATAAACATATGAATATTAATATGTTAAAACTAATTTAAAAGAAATATGTACAAGTTAAACTAGGGTAAAATATTGGGACCGAGACTGCAGAAAAAAAATAAGACATAAATGGATCAGGTAATGATAAAACGCTTTAGTCTATTAAAGGCGTTTCGGAGGAATGCTGAGGAATGAAAAATAATATTTTTGTGACACATTAAAAAATTAAGCTGTTCTACATCTGTTAAGTAATTAAAATCTGGGTTTAAAACGTTGGCTCTAGCAAAAAGATCATATCTAAGGTCATCATAAAATGAACATGTTAAAAGAAAATGCTGTTCATCTTCAACCTTTCTAAGTTGACACATAGTGCACAGTCTCTCGTTCAGGGGGGGTGGATGGATTGCCGAATCTACCGGTTTCAATTGCTAAGGGGAGACTACTACAGCGAAATGCCGCCATAACCTTACGGGTACATTTATGCACAGAATTGGTGACATAAGGTTCTGTATAAATAAAATATTTAAAGTGTTTATAGGTACGTAACTTGTTACAATTGACTAGATTTTTATCATCCCAAAGTTGCCTTTTCCAGTCAGATTGGTCATTGACCCACAATATTTCCCATAACGAGTTAATATTTACACAATTGTTATCATTAATTACATTTAGATAAAGTTTCAGTGACCAGTTATGCACAGATTTGGATAGGGGATTCGGACTATGCTGTATTCTATTCCAGAGCCTAAAAACTTCTACTTTGAGAATAGCGTCACTGCAAAGCCATCCCATATCACCTCTTGTTGCTAGATTTGAAGTGCGCTTAGGTACACCCAAGAAAAGCTTTCTGGTGTAAAGTATTGATACACTGGTGTTTGTTAATGCCCCATATCCCTGCCCCATACGTAAAAGCGGGTTTAACAAGACAATCATACAATTTACAGTATACGGCATAGCTAAAACCACCAGCATTATTGAATTTTGTAATAACCGCACTTAAAGCTCTATTGGCAGACATAGCTAGTTGTTTGCACAAAAGGAGAAATCTAAAAACACATTTAACCATACACCAAGATATTCATAAGAGCTACTTATCTCTAAATCTAAGTCTCCACATTTGAAAACTATTTCACTTTTAGGGGTAGTTTGGTTTCTAAAATGAATGATTTTCGATTTATTTTGATTAACAGAAAGTCTCCAAGTTTTACACCAGCCATGGATGATATCTAATTGTTTCTGTAAACCATCAGCCGTAGGGGATACTAATACGATATCGTCAGCGTACAACAGCGTACAACGATATCATGCGATATCATTTTAGTGACAAGGTCGTTCACGTATATCGCAAAAAGGGTAGGAGACAAGGTGCAACCCTGTTTCACTCCCAAGGAAACGGGAAACCATGGCGTTTTGTGATTATTGATTTTGATCGAACAAGATGTATCACGATATAAAGCTGAAATGCTATCAATGAAACTTCCATGAATACCAAAAGATTGAAGTTTTATTTTAAGCAGTCGCGATTCACGGTGTCGAATGCTTTTATCATGTCAATAAAGCAGCTGTATGTGCCCTGTTTTGCAATTTTCCGATTTTTAATGATATTAGTTAACATATAGATATTATCTAAACAATTTCTTCCTTTTCGAAAACCATTTTGCTCTTCGGCCAAAACATTTTCACCTTCCATCCAACGCGTTAGACGTTGATTCAGGATGTCTGAATAAAGTTTGCATGGGACTGACAGTAGGGTTATGCCTCGGTAAGATAAAGGGTCCATGTCACTTCCGAATAAGACCTGCACAGTATGATTTTTCGCATGATTATTATCATGTACTGTTGCGTAAGGCGATGTGTTCGTTTTGCCGCATTGCCCAACTTGCCGCAACGTGCCCAACTACACAAAAAAACGACTTGTAAAACGGACGTACGGACAGGGGTGCCGACAATGAGAGATGTGGGCGAATAAAAAGAAAATCGATGCGGGACAACAGATTAAAATATTTCGTTTCATGTGAAACAAATGGCCATTCCGATTTTAGCAGAAACCTTTAGTTTCGTTTACAAGTCATTTTGGCGCAGTTGGGCACGATGCGGAAAGTTGGCCGATGCGGCAAGTTGGGCAATGCGGCAAAACGAACCCACCGTGCTTGCAGAACCATGGGCGACAGCGACCAATAGCGACAATAAGGGAACAGCCTATAGATACAGGGTAAAACACAAGGTCACAACATCACAAAGGAACACACCAGTACGGAACAGACTATGGATACAACGGGGTAAAACACAAGGTCACAACACCACAAAGGAACACACCACTAGGGAACAGCCATTGGATACTGGGCCTTACACATTTGGTCTTGCCTCTCAAAAGGTTTAATCATTAACAAGAATATACCTTGGACATAGGCACTACATAACACCCCATGTCACTCTCTGATTTGCTTTCTCAATTATATGTCATTTTGCATAGTCTTTATCCCTAATATGGGTATTTTGGTAATAAAAAAAAGTTGATGGTTTATCTATATTCACAATATCATTGACAGAGACACAGGAATAAAATCAAGAAACAAGATCTACAGTACATGGCATTGTAAACATACATAAAAAAATTCAGCTAAATACTATATACAAATTTTAAAATTTGAAAGCGTTTATTTAGTTTCCTTTGACATTATTAACCAAGGAGCAGTATCAACTGTTTTAACATTCATAATAACATATTTCCTTACATCTGATAAATTTTACAAATTTATAAATTTACAACTCCATATTCTTATAAGACTTCACACAACCTAAAAATATTCATGCTAATACAAGTTTTGTGATGACTGAGAGCAAAGGAAAGTTGTAAACAAATCAGATCTACTGAATAAAGAATTAGGTTTATGCATGATCAACAAGCCTTTCACAGATAAATGTAGTCTTGCATACCAGTTTCTTCACTACCTATGCTTGGTATGTATTTTAGATGTGCATACACTCCTCTTGCCACAATTATTCATTTAATCCAAATTATATTACTTTTTCCTTTGTTCAATAAAACTACTTTCAGAATATGGGCCATTTTTAAGCATAATTATAAAGTTTATAAACATTTCTTTGGTTCAAAGAACTTATGCAGAATTCAACATTCAACTAAAATATTGCTTTTTAATCTTCTGTATTCAAAACATTCTGTAGACCTAGTATGTAATTATTTTAAGATGAATGTTACCACCAGGAATCATTCAGACAAAAACAAACTCCATGTTAACTAAAAACAAGTAAAACTGTCTGTGCACAGAGGATTCAAAGATTTTTGGGTCTTTTTTGTTGGCATGGTATAGTTACTGGAATTAACAAAAACTCTTGGAAACCAGTAGTTTAACATAATTGAATGGTAAGAGAGAACTGTAAAAAACACAAACCATAGCAATTAACAATTAAGGTGATCCAGTTATTTATATATAAAGTCTTGTTGCTACGGGATATAAATGAAACATAGGCTTGCGGCAAGTCTCGCAAGCAAATACGCCCACCAGCAGCTTTATAAAGAGCTAAATGTGAACTGTAAAACAAACTCTATATTGTAGCCTGTAGAGTGAGCACGAGCCAAAAAAGTGAAAAAACACGATATCAGAGTTTTATGCGATATCTCTAAAAAAAATCATTAAACAACCAAATTCATTAGTGCACATCTTCATAATGATATTAACACACATACAAAAGATCAAAAGAATCAATAGAGAATTGAAGTCTGTAGAGTGAGCACCAGCCAAAAAAGTGAAAAAAAAAAAACCAATGCGATATCTCTAATGAATATCATCTGATCCTCACCAAATTCAATAAATTCAATAGTGCACATCTTCATAATGATATTGACACACATACAAAAGATCAAAAGAATCTATAGAGAAATGTAGCCTGTAGAGTGAGCACGAGGTATATGTGAACGGACGGACCGACGACGGAAGGACCGACAGGGGCAACCACAATATACGCCCAAACTTACGTGTGGGCATATAAAAATCAAGATAGTCCTAAAGAGATCAGGCTACTCATGAGAAACATAAGTTACTTCCCCTTAATTGTAGAAATTAACTTGGACTTTCTGCCATTTTTATTTAAGGGCTGCCATATTTTATTCCAACACAAAGACTTATGTAATAATCTCATGTTTACAATGTAAGTGTTCTGTAAATTATATGGTCAATGTACAGAAGAGAAAGTATCTCAGACACAAAATCTATAATAAAGCCTAGACAACCAAGGCTATGAATATCAATGTGCACTAGTATCAGATGTCAGATCTTCATTGTCATTAGTTATGGAAGAATTGGTATCACTTGTATCTGAACTATTATCCATATTTGATGGTAATTGTTTAGGTTTATAATCTGTTATCAAAACAGTCACATCATTGACCGTCACTTCCATTTTCTCTCCTCCCAATCTATCTATATTCTTTAATCTTGATCTTCTGAAAATACAAAATAATTCTCATCTATTATCAAATCTAAATATGCAAATTTTTCAAGACCATGAATTAAAACATAGCACTCAGATCATCACTGCTGATATTCATACTACATTGTGAAACATATTCTTGATAAATCTGGAAAAACCTTGTATGTGGTAAAAAGAGAAAATATTTCATTTGTCATTTATACCATACAATATTATAATTTTATTATCATTTTAGGTACACTATTTGCACTATGCAATTAATTAAAAGGAAATGATTCCTACCGCTTTCCATTGACAACTTTATTTTTCTGACCAGAACTATGAGATTTCTCCCTCCTATGAGAATGTGAAGGGGGTGGGCCTGGTAGAGGAAACTGCTGTGCTACTTGTTGTGCCACTAACTGTGAATTTAATCTTGGCTTCCTAAATGAAAATGATAATAAAAAAAAAAAATATAAGTATTGCATCACAATGCTCTTGAAAGCATAGGTCATTTCAGTTTATTATGGGGAGTTCACTTGATCCATGTAATGTGATGTATAGGAGATATGGTGTCAGGTGTACAAATAGTTCAAATTGATTAGTTTGTAAGGCAAATATAAAGATGGCAATACCGTTTCAAGAGATTGTCTTTCTGAACAATACTTTATGATGTCAGACATTTACCTAGTTGAAGTTCCTTTCCGAACATCACACATTTCACATTTATATGCTTCTGGTGAATTACTGTATGTACAAACACTACAATCCCAATGGCCATCATCAACTGACTTTAACTGTCTTTTAGATCTGAAATTAACACAGAAGATAAAAGACAATATTGGCACATTCTTTGATGCCTGAAACTGAAATAAGAGGCCTGCTGAACTTTTTATTAGATTGTCATTAATGGATTATCTAAGGTTTAATATCTGAGTGGGAAATGTGTTTGTTTCAAGTCTAAACAATAAAACCTTATATTTCTACCCATTGGCCAAAGAAAATTGACAAATTTGACCATTTCACTTTGTGAAATAATCAAATTCAGAAATTATTATTGTCTGAGGAGATCACAGTATGGTTTATGATCTGCAAACTGTAAGTACTGGTAATAACAATTTAAATATATTTCAAAAAGCAAATCTGAAATGTGGATAGGCCTAACTCATATCCCATCATATACATCCTGATTGTGAAGATACATCATATATATAGACCTACTCTCTGACTACAATGATTTCCGAATGAATTTTGTCTATCATTTTAGAATGAATTGAAATATCAACTACAAAATACCACTGAGAGTCTTAGATTGTCTTTGGGTTGATGACTGGCACTGGAAAAGTTATTGTTTGTAAACATGATTTTACAAGTTTGAATTTCAGTCATTTTGATGTGAATTTTCTATTTTAATTGTAAAATTACTGAACCTTATATTTCTATGGAACAGAAATACAGTTGAAAATTTTATTTTGAAAAAATTCAATTCAGATCTCTGTGGTTAGAGAGTAGTTTTGAATCGCTAATATTTAATAATGTACCCGATCTCGATGTTTAGTGTATCCGCTTTCATTCTTTACCCAAAAACAAAACTTTGCCTTTAACAATATCATGCAAAGGTTTTCTCCAATGTTTGCCATAGTTTTGTTTTATCGGAAGAAAAAGCATCAAATACCTTCCTGTTGATCTCTTTTCCTCCATATAGAAGGGATTTTCTTAATAAAACACCAATCTAATGAAAGACTATTCACCATTCAATAATAATGTGTTCGATTACTTGCATCGAACTCAGTCTTTACAACCTGTTTTGGGTGGCGCTTGCATCGCTCTTTTTAAGGACCAATTTACCACCACAGTTCATTTTCTGACGATTTTTCACAGGGAAGCAAATTCAAAATAATATTTGAAATGACAGTTATAACCAAGTCAGGGTATGGTGAGTAACGAAGTAGTTCTTAAATTGGATTATAGTACACAGAACAAAGACAAGTACAGTATACAAACGCAGCCAAGCTAGATCACGTGATGTCTGGAGCATAGTGATATTTCTGTCTAATGTCCAAAATGTTCACAACTAACAGAAATATACCGCATTGTTGTTTTAATTTGAAATCTAGGGTTACCAACATACTGATACAATATTATATTTTTATTTTATTTTATTATTTTTGAATTCACTCATTGTTTTATAAGCATTCCTGGAATATTCAATTAACCAGAGAAATCTATCATAAATTACTTTCTTATAAATCTAATGTCGGAATTAGCCTATTCAAATGTCATTATACTGTGAAAAATGAGATATGCTGAATCTTTAGCATTCAAATTATGTAGTCAGGCTTATCATGGCCCTTAACATTTTATTATACAGGATTTTGATATTGTATGTAAATTTTAAAGTGCTATTTTGTGAGTGATGTGTAATTTGCTCTTTTCAGTCATATCTGATTTGGCACTTGGAATGTAACCACTAAACATTGAACAATGTTATGAAAATATAAACACAGGACAAATAAGCTTTTAGTTCTTGAAAATAAACAAAATTGCTAATTTAACAAATAGGCCTGGAGAGACAATTTCAACTGAGAGTTCCAATCTTCCCTTAGTGACATAATCAAACTATTCTACATCATCATTGACCCTCAATCAGGAACACAAACAATTTAAAGTATTTCATGTACATTGTGCTACAGATTCCCAATTGTCAACTGTCTCACACATTCCCATAAGATGTTATCTTGTCAATTAGATGTAGAAAGTCATTAGTTCCATTTCATTCCAGATCATTACATCTTATGTAAATTTTGATAGAATGAGGTTTATTCTATTCATAAGTATGGAATAGTATTTATGTTGGGCACAAGCACTTTCTTTATTAATAATTTAATAATAAAATATTCAATATGATACATAAGCTTTTTTTTCATAAAATCTGTCTTATTCATTAATCAAGACATTCATATTAGTAACAGTAGTAAGACTAGTTTGTCTCACATGTCCATGATAAATTCATATTTAGCTAAATTAGAAGAGAATTAGGAAACCCATCTTTAAATTGATGCTGATTTGGATAAACAATATAAATTTTTCCTCAAATACCAGTAATCAATACATTAACTGATCACAAATAGCACAAAAATATTACAGCTTGTTTTTCATACAGTTAATATAATCTAATACATCAATTGCAATTGTAAGTGTTTTGTTGATGAATAAGATCTAATTTTGCAGGTGACGAAGATGTACTATTCATTTTGGTGTAAGAGGTGAGTGTGGTTGAAAAAGGCTAAATCATCATCAGATTCTCACAAAACTTACTTGCTAAAATTATTTATGTTAATCTAAGATTTCAGTGAAATATTAAACGCATTTTCATTTGACTATTTCTTATTGGAATATGACGTGTGGATCTAACAAGTTCAAGCAAAAGGTAAACATCACAGAAGTGGTTAATACTGAATAAGAATAGATTTACAACAGGCATCTGTTAGGATATTCCTTTAGCTTTACAAAATTCTTCAAATCTTTTATTTTCCAACTCTGTCATGATTTTATTGAGAGCATATATCTGAAAAACAAATACAATCTGGTCAAATGCATATCTGGATGATCTGGATCACAATATAGTATTCTACCTATCAACCGATCTGTTCAATGTGCACATTTACTATACTTTATGTGAGGACTTCTACCCACATTAAACAGTGTTTAAACTAGTTCTGAAGAATACAGTGTGCAAAATTCCCCAAATTCCCAAAATTCATACTTCTTGTCTCTGTTTTCTTCGTTTTTCAAATAACTTGTCTTTCTGGTGCATTTTTTCAAGCTTAATTTCTTCTTCACGTTTTCTATCTTGTTTTTTCTGTTCCTTTTTTTCAATTTTTTCTAAACGTAACTTAACAGTTCGCTGAGCCTATAAAATTTGAAAACATAATTGTAGACTTGCAAATTTATATCAAAACCAATGTTTTTCTCCAAAATTCATATTTCATTAAATTATTTGAATTCAATTAAAAGTTGGCAGATATTAGTGTACCTGTACAATTTTATATTAGGGAGTAGAACGACTATTAAAAAACTAAAACTACTAAAAATGATGATAAATCAAATTGATAAACTCACCATTACATCATTGAGACTAGGTATATATTGATGATATTTCATCTGTTCTGATATGAAATATAAATACATAATACAACATACATGTTCTATAACAATAGTATGAATAGTATGACAAGTATTTGACATGTCAGTCACATTTATAATGACTAAAGTAATTGTCTTGTTGGTCACAAGTAAGAATTGGACTGCAAGGTATAAGCTTATTTCTGACAATACTCAAGGTGAAGCTAGTGTAAAATATTTTAGCAGTCCTGTAATCATTACATGCGATAGAATTGAAATGAAATGAATGGAGTTATACTTCATACTCTCCTGCAAAGGTCTAATTGAAACATTTTCATGTAATTTATTTGATTTCTTTTGTAGTTGTTAAATTTTACATGAATCTGACACCAGACATTTACTTTATTAAGTGACCTTAAGTTATTACATAACCTTATTAAAAATTGAGCTCTATCAGTAAATATATTTAATGAGTTAATCAAACATACCTGGTGTTGGTGTAGCAGGAGGTGCACAAGGTACTTCAACTCCACAAACAACAACAGTACCAGATTGACATTGTGATTGATAAATTTTGGTGACTTTCTTCATATATGCATCATTAGCAACTGTTGACTTGGATGGTGAAGTAGTAGGTGAAGATGAACTAATCTGACAGACCACATCACTGAAATTAACACGACCAATCCGAGGAGCTGAAGAAGTCCTGAGATTGTTATCAGATTGAGCTGGGCCATACACTGATTTAATAAATTTACTATTTTTCAGGAGTCTTTCTTTCTTAGAAGAACTAGTATCATGTATTTTGATTGCTGAACAATTAGCAGCAAAGTTCAAGCTGATCCGAGTTTTGGATTTTCCTTTCACCAGTCTTGAAGCAGATTTGGTTACAGATGGAAGGTCAACACAACTTGATTTATTTCTCATTTTCATGGGTTAGCCTATACTTCTCTAAAACAATAATCTGAAATAAAATTTAAACTTAAATCAAAATGAAATTGATTCTTTTGTATTTTGATTAGGCTACTGAAATGAAACGACGAGGTCCCAAGTCAAAAGTAATCTCTAAGATTCGATTCTATTGGACTTAATATTTCAACAATTCACTTCAATTTAGTTAAACCTTCAATACTCCCCCTTCTGAGAAATTCCACATACAAGTGACCATATTAAGATGATACTTGGAATTCTGATTACAGTTCAGGAATATCAGGAAATTTGGCCAATCAAAACTTGTGTTACATTTGGTCAAACAATTTGTTGATGTTAGAAATAGACAACCCATGTTTATCAAAACATGCAAATGTGGAGGTAACGCCAGGTCGCACATGTAAATTATTTATCATTCCCAGAGATACACGAAAGTTACTTCACTATAAGAGTGAAGAGTATGTAACAAATGATAAAACTGAGAATACAGTGGTTTAATCTATATTCGTGCATATAAGGATTTAACATCGAATTTCATCAAAATTAAAAAAAAGCAAGTTTCCTCAGATATTCTATAAATAATAAAAATTAGTTTGTTTCAATTTTCTTTATCTTGACCCATAATCAATGAGTAACCAACCCGACAAGTCTAAGACGAGAAAAACATGTTGTATGGATACCCAGTGATATCATTAACTTCTTTTAGTATTTATCTTTAATATCAATTCATTTTAATTTTCATTATAATTATCATTTCATTCCAAGAACAATGATTTAAAAAAATAAATTAGTGACAGACAAAATAAGATAAATAAAATGTAAGAGTGATTTATTGCTAAAAGTCAGTGAAACATAAGAATATGGCCCACATTGTGTTCCATAGAATTTGTATGCTGACACAGAATCCGATAGTTTGTCATGTAAGTTAGTTCATTGGACTATATTCTTGCACAGGACACTTGGAATTCTGATAAGAGCATGGTATTATAAAGAAACTTGACCAATAAAAACTTGTGGCATTTGGTAATAACTGAGTCCCCCATTTTGTATTTGTCAAAGTAAACATTAATACATTTACCTTGCTTGAAACTACTGGATTCATTCTACTACCTGACATTGTACAGATAAGCCATGTTTATCAAAACAAGCAAGCAAATGCGGAGGTCACGCGAAGTCGCACATATGAATTAGTATTCATTTCCAGAGATGCACGAAAAATAGGTTAGCACGAAATTAGTTTACTTGACTATTAATTAATTGAAATTTGATTGTCTTTCGAGTAATTTAATCTATACCTTTATCAAGGAAAAATGGCCATAATCCGAGCGATTGTAACTGTAGCAGATTTCATCCGTACTACCGTGTAATTTTTCTCTTGCTAAAAGTTCAAATAGATCTCTTTTTTCTGTTTTCCTGTCATGGGGGCGGCCATCTTGTTTGTTTCTGTTGTTGTAACTAATCATGTGATATGATCGGGAGCATTCGACAATTCCCGACAGTTTCCGTAAATCTAAATCCAACGAGTTTTTTTTTTTATATAAATTGGTTCGATATATAGCCTGTTCTTTCTACGCAGATTTAGCTAGATCAAAACATTTAACGTCTAAGCTACTGCTACATTTACCTAATCGACTCAAAACCTCACTTAAGAAATTTTACGGTCCTCATCATGAACTAATTGAAAAATATAAAATGTTTCTGCTGTCATGTTTCCTCAGATGTTTTTGCTCTAGACTACAATCAATTTTAAATTTGTAATCACAATATATCGAGTTGCCTTTATGTGTGTAAATGGTTATATCGTTGGGACTATATCGTTATAAGACACACCTTTTAACCGTTGGGAGAGGGAGCGTTTTCCCGGGAATGATCCACGGGAAACGGGGCGAAAGCCTCAGGTGAAAACGCAGTTTTGACGAGTGTGGCGCCAGGCCTACTTACTCTTTTTGACACCTGATACCACTTTTCATTATTAAATAACGGAACACAATTTTATGGTATAGGCCTACTAGGCTACTCCTTAGTTTTATTACACACTACGTTTCAACAATCTACATGGTCATCATCAGGCACTTCCTCATGTGAAAAGTTTATTAGCTGCTTCCAATATTTCGTCAATATGTTGTTACGGATTTTGATCGGGTTTCGTTTTGAAGTTCGAATCGTTAGTACTTGGTTTATTTATTAACCTTCTGAATGTGGTTAATGGTTAAAATTGGTTTCTAGTCCAAGAGACCCCGTTGGTGTCTTCCATTTAGATTTTGCGACAGGTTTGTTTTTTAACATATGAATGATCTCTTAGGAATTCGTACAGTTTTATGTACCTTCAAGACCCACCCGGAGTCCCGGTTTTAAGTGGTATACAACAAGGCAACCTGCAGAGTCTAGTCCTTTTTATCTGCTACATCAATGAATTCCCAGACATTATTATAACTTTCAATCTTTCCAGACGATGATGGAATCTAGTCTCCAGTCAATTCCCACTGTGACTATATTACTAAAGTTACTAAATGTAATTATTTGTAATCTTTAAGCTATCATTTAAGATTCTGTGTCTATTAAGATAACATACGCCTGAGTCCCCTATGAAAAACTGAAATATATTTTATCAAATTCAAAATGTAATATATAACACATTGATTATATCCCTTGCGTCCACATTAGGTAAGAGTGGTTGTAACAACAACATATAATTGAAGTAACGAATGCACAGTTGATGGAAACAATTTCAACATCTAATCTATTTGAGATTATCTAATAAGATAAATGCATAAAATATAAAGTTATATACTGACACAGAGCAACCATACAGATGACCACCAGAAATGCGGAGTGATGCCAATAGAAGCTCTTCGACAAAGTTGAAAAGGTGGTGGTGGGTGGCAAATTAATTTCCGCTTATACAAGTAAATTAAATCGTAGAGTATGTAATCATTGGTAGTCGGGGTGGTTGCTTGAAGGATCATGGTAAATCGGACAGTAATATTGAGTTTGTACTATAAAATCTTCAGATCTGGTCCAAACCATGAAACTATATACAGCTATAGTATTTTTAGCTTTGTAAACGGTGGCCAAAATCGTGTAGCTAATCATTTGTGTAACCATGCATATGCGTCATTTATCTCGAAAACGTACCGTGAACTATTAGTTCACCCAATCAAATCATCGATAGAAATCTGCACGTGCCGATCAGGTAAAAAATTTTGTGTTAAAACATATCAATTAATTAGTTTTCGTTCAAGTTGTATGGGACCCTATCGGTGCGATTTCATTAACATCCTATTTATTTTCTTTCAAATTTATCTAATTATCGTCAGATTTTAATTCTCGAAAAAGTATGTGGTATAAGATCAGCAGGTGTATCAGTCAATACACCTGGAAAGCCATGTATATAACTATCACGTATATTACTGGATTGTGATTCTGTATTTGTGATTTGGACTGATAATATACTGACCAGATGTATTATTTCTGTCTATATGATTGTGTGTTTAACGAACTCGTAATTAACGAAAAGAACAGTGCATATGATTTCAAATCATTTACAATATTGTATGACATAGTTATCAGTTGTTTATCCCTGGAGACCGTATAGAGATTTGAAGACTCTATATCATAGAACTGTAATTGTAAACCTATTGTAAATCAATAAGTGATTACGTAGTTTGGAGTAATTTGATATCGAACTATCATTCTAGCAATAACTATCCATATATCTGACACATTTCAACATGCAATAAACATATAACTCATAAATCCGATTCACTCTTGTATTACACTTCCAGAAATTCAAACAGATTTGAAAGTGGACCTATTGATCGTATTAATGAGTGAAACAACATTAGTATATACTGTTTTTAGAGGGTTTGTTACCCCTGGATCAGGTGTTTTCAATTGTTTCTTTCTATGAGCTATTTCAGGATCCTTTGTTGATTACATTATCCCCTTTCCCTCTTGAGATCTTTACTGTCTTGTGGTTTTATCTTTTTTTTACCTGTAATCAATTTCATGTTGGAGAATATAGCCCGTCTGAATAGAAGTACTTCAGGACAAAATGGAAAGCGCCTCATCACCCAGAATGAGAGGTAAGAAGTAGGCGTAGTGCATGTTTTTTTTTTTCAGTGTTGACAGTGACTCTGAGTGAGTCAAGAGGATTCTGTCCCAAGTTTATTGCTGGCTTTAGTAGGAATGATACTAGAAGGTGTCAACATCAAATACCAAAGCCATGAATCATCTCATCTCATCTCATCTCATCTCAGGCGACACTGTCTCACAACTTTGAAGTACAAGCGCTGACCAACATAATATGCAACCCCTAAAAGACACAGCCCGTATAAGAAAACCCCAATCGCTACTTACATTTGATTGATGCTTCATGCTCAGACGCGGAAACGGGAGTTAGTTGACATGATCTTGGCGTCTCGTATCTCCGTTCTCCGTAACTCAACTGATTTAGGCAACAAAGTGTGTGAACACATCGAGAAAGAAAACGCAGTGTGCCCACTATCAATGCAAAGTCAAGTATTCACAACTCCGCCGTGTTATGATCGTCATATTCGCCAACGGATTTGATCATGACCATTTCAAAGTACCGAGTGCGTTCTCGGCTATTTCGATTGACTAAGTCCACGAGTAAATAATGCTTGTATAAAGGGGGGGAGGGGGGTGTTGTGGGGGTGGTGGTGCGGTTAGTGCTCTTCGACCTTGGGTGTGTTCTGGACCAGAAGTGTCCAGAGTGATCAGAGAATTTGAGGATGCCTTACATCAAAAGGGAAAAGAAATGGATCAGACCATGGTGTACAGAAAGTGTACAGAAAGACTTTGCTAAAGATATCTGTTATCTTATTTCTGCCATAAAAGAATTCGGAAATTAAGGAGGACAGTCCAGATAGCAGAGCAATAGCAGTTGCCGAAGTTCTGAAACCTGTCAAGTCTGTACAATTAATGAGAAAAGAGCAGTTTCATGCCTTTACGAAAGAACGTCTGAAGAACAAAACCCATTAACAGTGTAATTTCAGGTAACAATTTAACTTAGTTGGGCAACTCAACTTTTAAGACTGATAGACAAGAATTGAAAACTCTGAAAAGTTACATGGATTGCACAGCCCCTTGCAATCACGAAGACGCGGATAGTCGAATTATGCTTCATGTTTCTCATGCTGTTTGTCATCGCCATAGCAAGATTATGATACAAACAGTAGACACAGATGTTGTCATGTTCGCAGTTATGGTTTCCCAGAAATTCTTACCAGTTCATTCAGAAATTTTCGTTACTTGGAAGCTCTTGAAATCAAAGCATGTCTTGGACCCGATATCATGTGCCTTACAATGTTTCCTGCTTTGACAGGGTGTGTCACTGTATCAATCTTTGCAAGGCATGGACAGAAGACGGCCTGGATTACATGGTAAGTATTTCCAAAGGTCATTCCGGCCCTAGTACCTAGTGTTGTCATGTGTTCCAGAACTTAACTCAGATACTACTATGAAGATGATTGAGAAGTTTATCATATTGATGTATGACAATAATTTATGTTTGAAGATGGTGAAAGAAGACTTTGCCAAAAATAAAACTTCATTTCAAGCCATTCCACCAACGCATGCAGCACTTGTACAACACTATAGAAGGGCAGTTTACCATATAATCACATATTTCACTACCTTAACTCCCATCTCCAACTGAATGGGGCTGGATACAGACATTATATTCCGTATTGGACGACTCTGAAACAAGCATCGAAGTGAAGAATTAGGTTTCTTGCGATTGTCGGAGGGTAACAACCGATGTAAGTGCAAATCGTCATCATTTAAATGCACAGGACTGTTTATAAACTGGATTTGTTTTATTTTCAACATTTAACTTTGATGTGGGTCAGTATTCAAATTTCATTCAACCACTGCGCATGCGCAAAATTTTCATGCTTTAATCATCAAATTTCTTAGCTTAGCCGCCTCACTAGTACCTTTTTTTTTTAAAAATTTGAGTATGTCGCGGCTTGGGACGGAATCTTCTTAAATGACAATTACAACTCTTTCATATTAACCGTACCTCGGTTCAGGAATAAAACATTTATTTAATATTAGTCAGATCACCTCTGCCCCGCGTCTTTTTTTTTTTTTTATTATATTGGGGTATACACTAAGCTTTGTTTCCAGGGCGGTTGTCTAGGAATGGGGGCGGTATACCGAATTCAGATGACAAATGGATTTCGACGTCTCATTTGACCCTAATTCTGAGGCTCAGTGAGATGATGACAAATTGTTAGACTCAATTGTTCCCATTGATCCGCGATCTGAAATAGAAGTAGAGACCAAAATACCTTATACCCCTATTACCACAACCAAAATAATCTGTGTCCGTATTACTGTGACCAAAATAATATGTACCCATATCACTATGACCACCATAATACCTTGGGTCCGTATTACTGTGACCATGTAA